TTCTCATCACATCCAAAATTTGTCAGGCGCTGGGGAGGTGAAGTACAGTCTGACTGCAGCACAGTCCAAACTTCCTCATTCTCTCCCCAACACTGCTGCACACATGCACTAGACAGACAAGAAATTCCCAAGTAAGCCTTCAGTGGATGAGCAATTGCCCAACATTTCCCACAGGGATCTCTGAGGACAGTACTTCATCAGTGTGATCCCATCTGTCTCTGACAGGATCCACAGCTGAATCGTTATATCGAAGGAGGTAGCTAATAATAGGTCCCAAGAGAGTCATGGTGGAGCAGTTTGTCTGTTGCTGGGAGATGGTTATTAGCCCGGGTGACCAGGGAAGTTCCCATCCTGTCCTCAGACTGAAAGCTGGGCTTGACAAAGAAATTTGATGACTCTGGCTGTTGATAAAATTGCTACTGCACCAACTTTCCAAAATCTGTGACCAAAAAAAGCAGGTTAGTTACAAAGTGAAGTGCAATGAGAAACTTGATATCAAAAGATTGTGTCCTTCCTGAGGGCTCACTTAAGGGAACTTGGTAACCAACCAGCTCTTAGGCCAGGGATGGGCAAAGGGCCTCCACAAGCTGAATCCAGTCCACCAAGTGGGTTGATCTGGCCTGCGGCGGTTCTGCCACTCCTCCGCCACCAGGCCAATCAGGGCCTAGGGGTATGGGAGCATGTGGCACTTAAAATGAACCCTGGCAGTTGACTCTAAGCACCTCGTGCTGAAGGGCAGGGAATAAGGGTATGTCTACACTACCCCGCTAGTTCGAACTAGCGGGGTAATGTAGGCATACCGCACTTGCAAATGAAGCCCGGGATTTCAATTTCCCGGGTTTCATTTGCATAAACTGGGCGCCGCCATTTTTAAATCCCTGCTCGTTCGAACCCCGTGCCGCATGTAGCCACGCGGCACGGGGTTCGAACGAGCAGGGATTTAAAAATGGTGGCGCCCAGCTTATGCAAATGAAGCCCGGGAAATTCAAATCCCGGGCTTCATTTGCAAGTGCGGTATGCCTACATTACCCTCCTAGTTCGAACTAGGAGGGTAGTGTAGACATACCCTAAGAGACTTCACTCTCCTTCTTCCCCCAGGCCAATCAACGCTTGGGGGTGAGGGCAGTGCATGAAGTCTCCTCCCGCTCTGCAAGAGGCTCAGCATTTAGAGTCAACTGCCAGCTGCTGCTCAGCTTGTGGGTGACTCTAAGCGCGGCGCTTCCTTGCAGGATGGGGGCAGACTTCGCACACTCCTTCTCACTCCCAGACTCTAATTGACCTGGGGGCACCACGCAAATATCCTCCCACCACCAGTTCTCTTGGGGGGAGGCAAAGACTTAATGCGCTTCCCCACCCACAGACCAATCAGGGTCTGTGGGCAGAGAAACATAGAAGTGCCCTGGCCCCGCACCATCTGCCTGACGCCCTCATAGAAGTGCCCTGGCCCCGCACCATCTGCCTGAAGCCCTACCCCTTCCGGGGTGGCCTGGGGCCACTTCAAAAATTTCTGAAGTGGCCGCCAGTCAAAAATTATTGCCTACCTCTGGCTTAGACAGACATTAACAGTCTCAAACTAATGGTCCCAAAACCTCCCTTTGATACTTAATTTTATTAACCACAAAAATTGGCTCTGTGGATGTGGGAAAGTCAGTGGATGTGATGTACCTTGACTTTAGCAAAGCATTTGATACGGTCTCCCACAATATTCTTGCCAGCAAGTTAAGGAAGTATGGATTAGATAAATGGACTGTAAGATGAATAGAAAGCTGGCTAGATTGTCGGGCCCAAAGGGAAGTGTTCAATGGCTTGATGTCAGGTTGGTAGTCGGTTTCTAGCAGAGTGCCCCAAGGATTAGTTCTAGGGCCAGTTTTGGTCAACATCTTTATTAATTACCTGGATGAGGGGATGGATTGCACCCTCAGCAAGCTGGTGGATGTCACTAAGCTAGGGGGAGAGGTAGATAAGCTGGAGGGCAGGGATAGGGTCCAGAATGACCTGGACAGATTAGAGAATTGGGCCAAAAGTAATCTGATGAGGTTCAACAAGGACAAGTGTAGAGTCCTGCACTTGGGATGGAAGAATCTCAAGCATTGTTATAGGCTGGGGGCTGAATGGCTAAGTAGCAGTTCTGCAGAAAAGGACCTGCGGATTACAGTGGATGAGAAGCTGGATATGAGTCAAAAGAATGTCCTTATAGCCAAGAAGGCTAATGGCATATTAGGTTGCATTAGGAGGAACACTGCCAGCGGATCTAGAAAAGTGATTTTCTCCCCTTTATTCGGCTCTGGTGGGGCCACATCTAGAGTATTGTGTCCAGTCTTGGGCCCCCACTATAGAAAGGATGTGGACACATATTAGGGGGCTGGAGCACATGACCTATGAGGAGAGGCTGAGGGATTTGGGTTTATTTAGTCTGCAGAAGGGAAGAGTGAGGGGGGATTTGATAGCAGCCTTCAACTTCCTGAAGGGAGGTTTCAAAGCGGATGGAGAAAGGGTATTCTCAGTAGTGATGGATGGCAGAACAAGGAGCAATGGTCTCAAGATACAGTGGGAGAGGTCTAGGTTGGATATTAGAAAAAATTATTTCACTAGGAGGGTGGTGAAGCACTGGAATGTGTTACCTAGGGAGGTGGTGGAATTTCCATCCCTAGAAATTTTTAAGTCTTGGCTTGACAAAGCCCTGACTGGGTTGATTTAGTTGGGGTTGGTCCTGCTTTGGGCAGGGGGCTGGACTTAATGACCTCCTGAGGTCTCTTCCAGCTCTATGACTCTATGAAAAAGAACAGATCTAGTGCCCAGAAAGCTCTGTAATGTTTCCAGCACAACCAAGTCCTCTGTGAGTGAAATTGGTGAAAGGTGAAACAGAGAGAACATATGACATCTTCAGACAAGGCCGCAGCATGGAAGCCCCAGCCCTGCAGCTGGCCAGGAAGAATCAGGCTGGGGTGGGCAAGGCTTTACTCCAGGGGTGGAACCTCATGTAGAGGGGAGGGACTGGGGCTTGCCTTCCCCAGCTGTGCCTTCACCGGCTGCCCATGGGCTTGAGTACTCTTACAAATGTTTCCAGAAGTAATAGTATTACTCTGACTTCTGAACTGAGATGTTGTGGGGGAAAACTAAAGCATCCATAATCTCTTTGGGGCAGATAGAGCCTTTTTTGTTATGTGTCTGTACAATTCTAAAGATAGCATGGCCTTGGTCCATGTTTGGGCAACTGCAATGCAAATTATAAATAGTAACAGCTAGAGCTGGACAGGAAACAGCATTTCAAATCCATAAAAAATTATAGAACTTTTTCATCTTGAATTAGGATGAACAAAAAAAAAACCTCAAAATTTTGCACAAAACTGAAATCACGCAACATTGCGTTTCAGAAACACCCAGACGTCCCCACTGCAGGAACATTTCATTGCTTCTGAAATAAATAGGCTCCCCAAGATCCCCAGAGGTTAATCTGGGAGTCTGAGTCCTGGTTCTGAGACAGACCGCCTTGCATGCTGTCATGGAGTCTAGATACCTGGCCTACCATGGAGTGGGTGAGCCAGAGAGCTGGGAACAATATTCCAATGAAGAACTGAAATTTGTCATCAAAATGAAATTTTTTCCATGGAAAATTTCTGTTTGTGAAAGGTGAATTTTTTGTGGGCAAATCATGCTGACAGAAAATTCCCATCCATCAATGGTGATAAATGACCAAATTCTCTGTTGATATAAATCAATACAGCTGTACCAAGTAAAAACTTTAACCTAGAGGAATAAATATTTTGAACCAAATACATCCAATTCAATAAATCTTTGAGTGCCTAAAATTAGGCACTTACATCCATATTTCAGTTGGCAACTAAATAAATCTGCTTTTGAGAGAGTGATTTAGTGACTGCCACAGAAGCCGTGGGTACTAGGGAGCTGTGAAATGAAGCGCTCATTTTAAGTACCTAACCTCAGGCATCCAAGTCTCAAAATTGTGGCCTGTGTTTTGTATCACTAAGCATAAAATTACAAATAGCTCTACATATTAATGCTGGCCCCTTTTTAGTGCTGTTGTAAAGCAAATGCTTATACTGTACTATCTATACTCAAATTCTTTCCAATGTCAACAACATTGTTCAGACTTTATAACTTGTTAGGGTGGAGCTGACCTACTATAAAACAATATCAACAATTCCAATATATTTCCCATTCTATACAAAGCCCAGCATCTTTCTGTAAGTTTCCACATTCCTATAGTGTTGAATTAAAATACAGGTTGAACCTCTCTAGTTCAGCACTCTCAGGTCTGGCAATATCTGAGGTCCTGCATGATTTTAGTTAGCCGGATATCGACTTATTATCAAGTTTCCCACAGTCCCAGAAAATTTGTTTACTGACACCTGTTCTGGCTCTCAGTGATTGGTGCTGTTATTTAGCTCTATTTTACCACTAAATGTCTTCTAACAGCCCAGTAACCAGTGGAAGTGTTGGTAATGCTGCTGGACAATATTGAACCTCCTGGTGTTCAATGTTGGTTAGGCAAATTCCCTGGTTTGGCATCAGTCAGGTCCCAAAAGCGCTGGACTAGAGAGGTTCAACTTATAAGTATTTTATCATATACTAAATTTGCAAAGTGTAATGGCAGAGTTTATAAGTTTTATCACCCCCCCTTTTCAAATACCTATAATAATTAGAAGGCAAAATTGAGTTTCTAAGTAATGGCAGAGTTTATAAGTTTTATCACCCCCCCCTTTTCAAATACCTATAACAATTAGAAGGCAAAATTGAGATTCTAAGACAAATATACACGCTACAATGGAATTTTGATTGGGACCAGCTTTATATTGTACCAGTAGAAGAACAGCACACTCTAGTGACAGATATTTTCCCACTATTTAAAAGCCATGTTCTCTGAGGGAAACTGCTCCCAGAATTACTAATTGCAGGGTTTATTTAATGCTGCTACTGATATTCTTTTGAAATAATTTTACTCCAACATGCCAACTTGCTCAACCATATAACATATGCCAGGATAATGTCCCTTGGGTTTCATACAAATGAGCATAGCTGGAATACAGTTAAAATCTTGGTTCAGATAGAGCTGAGCAAAAATCAGAATCCTTTATTTTTTACCTCACAGGTTAAAAAAAGACAACTGGAGAGCAGTTTTGAAAGCAAATAAACAGATTTTCACAGGAGAATGAATTTAGGACCAAGATGAGGCAGATGTCCTTCTCCCTTGCTGTGATGGGGCACCTCGGCTCTGCACTGTAGAACAGGCTGTATTTACCCCAATAGAGGGGAGCGTTACAAGGACTAGGCTTAAGGGCCGTATTTACCCAATAGAGGGGCATACTTCAAAGACCAGGCCACAAGGCTGTTTTGACCCTGATAGAGGGGAGTGTTACTAAGACTGGGCCTCTGGACCATAGTGACCCCATAAAAGCTGGATTAACCCCATAAGAGGGGGATCTGGGACTCAGACTCCAGTCATTGGGCCATGCAGATCCCGATAAGTGGACCTGTGGGGGATTTTGACGGTGGGAGTCCGCACGAGGGGAGCTCGCCCCTCAACACTTTCGCACTGCACTTGTGTGGGAATAAGCATACTCTGCCTGCAAGTGCCAAAGAACACAAATGGAGAAGAGGGACTATCTAATACAAATGTGTTTGAGTGGAGGGGATAGGCAATATTATGATCTTGTCTTTCCTCTCATCTTAGTAAGCATCAATAGGGGAGCACAAGACTGGGATCAAGTTACATTTCTCTTCCTAGTGTCCCAAATACCACAGCCTCCTGCTACCTGTAGGACCTGTGTGAGGTAGGGAAGTGCACAGCTGCACTTAAATTTTGAATTGATCTGACTTATAGCAACTGAGTGTCTCAGAAATCAGGCTGTCTTGAAGTGGAGGATTAAAAGAAAAGCTGATATTTGGATGAAAGAAATAATACTTGCAATTACATTCCCGAGGACTAGAAGATTTCATGCTGTTTTAGCACTATGCACTCGTCAGACTGAAGGAGCATGGAAATAAAGAAGTTTATTATCGAGACAATTCAAAACTGAGTGCCTCTGAATAAAGTTTGTATCAGCCATCGGCAAAGCAAGAAAATCTCACTAGCATTCATATATTTATGTCAGCAAATTGAACACTTGCATTTTAAGATAAATTCAATACTACTAGGCTATGTCTACACAGCAGCGTTATTTTGGAATAACTAATGTTATTCTGAAATAACACAGTTTGCGTCTCTACACAAGCAGTTATTTCAACGTAATGACAAAATGTTGAGCTGGAGGACTGCTTACTCTGACTCCTGTAACCCGCATTGTACGAGGAGTAAAGGAAGTTGGGGGAAGAGTGCTCTATCTCAAAATAACTGCTGTGTAGACAGCGCCAAAAGTTGAAATAGCTTATTTTAAAATAAGCTATTTCGACTCAAGCTACGCAATTAGCATAGCTTAAATTGCATATCTTATTAGCTATTAGCATAGATTAAATTACGTAGCTTATTTCAAGTTTAGCCCTGCAGTGTAGACGTGCCCTATGATTTAGTGTGTTAGTCCAGAAATTAAAGAGCCCAGAACAGATTCCTCAAACTTTGGTCTATTTGCAATTCATGAGGGAAAGAAACATGGGATAATTTTACTGCATAGTATCTCTCACATGAGAAGGGCTTCTAAAGCTTGTGACCTTCCCAAATTCATCTTTCAAATCATTCACATTTATAACTTTTAAATTATTATTTTTCTTCAAATCTTCCAATTTTGTAGAAGAAGGGAGTCTTAAATATCAAGCTAAATCTGTAGATTGTGCATACTGCAGTTTAAACCAAGTTTTTGAGGACTTCAGTAACTCAGCCAGATGATATGGGCCTATTACTGGAGCGGGTGGGTAAGTTTCTGTGGTTTGCAATGTGCAGGAGGTCAGACTAAAACATCATGGTGGTTCCTTCTGGACTTAAAATCTATGAATCTATAAGTTAAAATTGAGCTTTCAACCTTAACTCTGTCTTTCCCAACTGTTGCTTGTTTCCCCACCTTTAATGCTTCAGCAGCTTTAGTATGCTGTATGGAATACTTATATAGACCTAAATAAATGTAAGATGTAGACAAATATGGATACTAAATGCCCTTGATGTCTTTAATACTATATTGTTGCTTTTCATGCTGTTCTTTTGTGTGTGCTTTCTGTTTCACAAATGTATTTGATCAAATACATTGATTAAATTAAAATGTGCATATTTGCTTATGGATAATACCACTGATATTGATTTAAGCTTACCCCAATCTTTTCACAAAGGTTATATTTCTGCCTACACATACATTAATGGTGGGTGCCCGGGGAAACCAAGGAGTGGAATGTCACTGACTTGATTTCCTGAGAATTTGATCACATGCAACCCATGGTGATTTCATTTAACGTTGTAGGTGATGATTACCTCTGGAATTAAGAAACCAGACTACTTTTAGATACATACTAGTAGTAAAAATTCACAAAACACATTAAAATGAAAGCAGCAATTTACTGAGGTTGCAAGAAGCCAGACAAGTTAATTATACGCTTTAGACTCTACTGTCCTTGCAAGTCCTAGTACACAAACATTTTTCTTTCTAGAGTTTATGTATTGAGGGTTGCTGTCACATGGTCCTTTCAGGTGACTGACAGAATAATTTGAAGTCTTTCACAATAGTGCTTAGAGCACAATCCCTTTCTTCAAAAATGCTCACCCCTAATGGTAATGGCCTCTAAGGTACCTGACATGACAATGGTATTCACATTAATATTCCAATGTGTACATTAAATAAAACCATGGGCACTTTGTGCAGGACCTCTCTCCATTAATGAGATCATCAGCAAAAGAAAGGACATACTGTCTATTCTAAGGGTGCAATATAGTATAGAGTAGAATTTTAAGTGTACACATTACTTACATATGGCTCTTAACTGGCCCGATAAAAGGACTTCTGAAACTACTGTACATTAACTTGTCAGCATTTCCTGTCCACTTTCAGATGTCACCAGCCTCCATTGACCTAGTGAAATAGAAATAGCATGAAGCTGGTGAAGAAACATGTTCCTGTCTTGTTGTTGGCTGTCAACACTCATATGCTTGAATCTGATTTTTGTTAGAAATGTATGTGTCTTGTTCTGTTAGGCAATAGTTAGAGGTCAGATCCAGCATTTTTTGGCTTGGACCTTAACATCCCTGAACTATGAGAACTTTGGATATGGATCTGAAATTTATGGCAGTACCCTTTATTATATACACAGTAATTTATATCTCTGACAAACGTCAACAAAACTTAAAAGCAGCCAATAATTGTCTGCAAAAGCAGCCCATAAACCTCACCCACAATGAAAATACATACCCTTTAGCAGATAGATATGGCACATCACTCTAGCATAGCTATTCACATACTACTGGTCTATGGGACACTAGCTGGTGATCTGCAAAGGCATGACTAGTTAGTTGGTGCCAGATCCTCTTCCTTGTTTTCAGATGGCAAGTTGCATTAAGACACCAGGTTACAATTGAAGAAGTTTCCCAATATTACTTTCCTTATAAACAATTGGCTGTAGTTGCAATAAGGAAGTTATATCCTCACAAATGAGAAGGAGTTAATGGGCAAAGAAGTGTTCAAGAGATGCTATTAAGTGCTGGTCCATATTATCAAAATACTTGAGGGCCCCTTGTCAAAAAGATGCCAACGTTGATTTATGGCAAGCAAATTTTGGACCTTGGGTCCCTCCACATAGACTGCCTTATGGCTTATATACCTACCATCACCTGTTGAAAAGTCAGGAGAAGGATCCCAGGTGATGAGAAGCGTTTTGATAGAAGATAGGGGAAAGGGCTGTCTTGGAGTTAAGCCTATGAACCCATGAGGAGCTTCTAAAATAGATGATGAAACACTTGATTTCCAACTCCCAACAGCCTAAGCTCTTCAGATGATATTTTTTGCAAATGACATTGTCCTAATTGCGTCTCAACCTGAAACATATCAAACCCTCCTCAATGACATCAGTAAGAATGCAAAGGAGATTGGCCTGATCATCCACACCAGAAAAACTAAGTGGATGAAGAAAGCATATTGTTCAGAATACGCTATGTAGCTGGATGGACAGATTGTCAAGCTCATGCATCAGTATGTACATCTTGGACAAGCATTGTAGATGGACAGTGAGTTGGGCCTGAAGTTGAGCAGGAGGTGGAGGTTGTGTTGGATTGCTTTTGGGAATCTGTAGGGCATTTTTGTTGAGACCAAACTTTCCACCATTGCAAAAGCCCATCTATTTACCAGTATCCTTCTGGTTATGCTGTATGGCTGCGAAACCTGGAACATGACTCTTACAGAAGAATTTAAGCTGCAAACTACCCAAAGAGCAATGGAAAGACGCATGGTGGGTGTAAGTAGGCTACAGCATGTTACTATTAGCGATTTGCGTATAAGACACTGTGTCAACGATATCATCCAAGTTATGGAAAAGCAGATGGGCTGGACATGTAGTGAGACTGAGAGACAACAGATGGACAGCACGTATAATCCACTGGTATCCATGAGACATAAAAAGAACAACAGGAAGGACTCCAGGGGTACATCTATACTGTATGCTTATTTTGAAATAAGCTATTCTGGAATAGTTATTCCAAAATAGCTTATTTAAAAATAAGGCATCTACACTGCAGAGAAGCCTCAAAATTAGTCTGAGGCAGGCTTCCCTAATGTAGCTGTGCTATCTCGATTTAGAGCCCCAAGAGGCTCTGGGGAGGAATAACTTAGAATGGCTCTGGTAAGGGGCTAAATTGAAATAGCAGCAGTGGAGCTTCTATACATGCCTTATTTCAGAATAGTTATTTTGGAAGAGGAGTTATTCCTCATGGAATGAGGTTTACAGAAGTTGGAATAAGCTGCCCGTTATTTCGATATTAATTTGAAATAATGAAATTGCTGTGTAGATGCTCGCATTGTTATTTCAGAATAACACTAGTTGTTCCAAAATAACAGTGCAGTGTAGATGCACCCCAGGACATTGGGTGGATCCTTTATAGAGGATTCATGAAAGGACATGGATGAGAACCACACAAAATAGGACAGCATGGAAAAATTGGGATGTACATTGGTGGCGAGACTATTTGCATAGATGAAATCACGGATCTTCCAAGTATCAACCTAAGTCGTGCAGCTCCTTTGAAAATCTCAGCTTTGATTTGCACTTAGTAGTCAATTGAGAATAGAGCTGATCAAAACTCAGGCTCTGTTCCATGTCGTGATGGGATGCACTCACCTCAAACTGGATGAGGAAGGATTAACTCCACACTGTGGGTTGAGCAAACCTTGCCTTCATCACTCTACTGGGCATACTCTCAGTGCCTTGGTGTAAAAGGGAGAAGCTGAACTCAGTTGTGGGGGACTGGTGGGGAGGAAGGATGTATGCTACTCGCTCTAGCCAAGAATCAGCTGATGCCTGAGCCTATAGAAACCAGAGATGTCACAATCCAGGCAGATACCAAGATACCTTCAGAGACCTTGCTGCGTTCAGAGTTGCCAGGGACAGCGCAGATTGGAGCATCTGGATAGAACTGAGATGTTCAGATTATGGCAGGAGGAACTATGGTAGGAAGCAGCCCAGGGGAATTGGATGGGGTCCAGTTATTGAAATGGAATCTTGAGTCTATGTATTTGGATCAGAAACCACCTCCCCCACCCTCCCACACACATACTGATTCAGTGGCAAAGAGACAGCGAGGAAAAAGGTCAGCAGACAAGGAATAGGAGAGGTACTCCGGGTACATACCCTACAAGTGTGGTTTTACTCTCCTGACTTAAATCAATGCTTTAGTGTCTATGCTGCTGTTTACACCCATGTCTAGTGGGTTAGTGGTGGTCCCTCCTTGTCGGGGTCAGTGGGAGGCCACTCCAACTCACTACATAAGCAGGCATTGCCTGTAGTCAGGAAACTAGCAAAGACTGAACATCTTTTGGGTCTGGCCTGTAATCCTGGCAGAGCAATGAGTATCGGGGTCCCAGACCCTCAAGCAGAGCAAGGTACCAATCAGCCTAGGATTCCTGCCTGTAGTCAGGGCAGACCAGCAAACAGTTAGGGGCTCTGGCCTGCAATGAAGTTTGGGCAGCAAAAGAGTCTCTTCCCACAGGTCCTCAGTCAGGGTGTAGCAGTAAATAGACTATGGCTCTGACCCGTGCTCAGTACAGAGCAGCAAAAGGGGTCAAGCATGCTAGCTTTGGCAGGCAGCCAAAAATACAGACCTTGTGGCTTAGAGAGGGGAGGTTGCCACCCCCAAGGGGAAGTGGCAGGGGGTCACAGGGCCCAGACCCACCTGACTCCACCAGGGACCTAATAGTGACAGAATATTCCACCACTGGATCAGCAAGGAATCCATCTGCAGCACACTGACTATCTCTGGCAGCCACACAGCCATACTGGGGCTTGCTTCTGGGCCACTTACAAGCCCCTCCTTGGAGTGTCCCTGGTTCATGGGGTTCCTTCATTTCCTTGGATTAGAAGGCTAGTGGCAGTCCCAGCAACTCCTCAGTACCCGGGCCAGTGGGTGGCTCCACCATCTCTGGTCAGTCCATGGCTCTGATATGGTCTCCCAGTTCAGGAGCAGGCAGGAGACATCTGTCTCCTCTGGTGGCTGCAGCACAGCTGAGTTCCAGGACCCACCCTTTATACATGCTGTTCTGCCCCTGATTTTCAATGGGAGGAGCAAGCACCACCTGGCTCAATCCACTGGGTTCAGAGCATGGTCCTCCCCCTCTGGCTCAATGAAAGGCAACTTCACCCCACTGCAGCATGCTAGCAGGGCTATGTGTGTATGTGTACTACATTCTTCCTAAAGAATCCTGCAGTGTAGCTATACCCATAAAGTGCAATGGAAAATGCATAACCATGCTCAAAGTTAAACAACAGTGCAGAATTGCTGGTGGCATCTCTTTTGGGACAACAATAAATTCAGCACAGAGGCAGAGACAGTGGAGTGAGAATGGGGTCCTTTCAGCTGGAGTTGAAACAATTTTTAATTCATTTCACATAAATACTATGGCAATGGATGTACGAAAGAAAAGAAGGAAAAAAGTAATACATTCAGCACACAGTTTCACACTCACTACCTGTAATGATCTAGAATTTTTTTTATCTTATAGACTCTATTAATGGGTGAGCAACACAGAGCAAGTATGGAGAAACAGAATTTCTAAAATCTCCAGGTGAGGACATCCACTGGGATTATTGTATGTCAATCTACTAAACTAGATTCTAAAAATTCTGGGTCTATATTAGTAGGATAATTGGAAAGTGAAGAAAACTTCCTTTTTATTTAAATTTGCCTCCATATAAAGAAAAACCTCAGATCCAATTTACACAGCATTCTAAGTGTTCTAATTTATTTCTGTAAAACTGATTCAGCTTCCTTAGCTCCCAATTCTGGTGTCATGTCAGTTTAATTAAAGATTTGTCCTACCGGATTCCACAGTGGCAAAGTCAGGAAAGTGTCGAACACTTCAAAAACCTATTCATTTCCCCTGCTTTGAAAAGCAACTAACTCTTCAGTGTGACCATTGCACCAATAGGTGGCACCATTCCACTTTCCCAAACTTACCTTCTTGTAAAAACTTTAAAAAACAAGGTAGTCTTGCAGCACCTTAGAGATTAACAAAACACGTAGATGGTATCATGAGCTTTCGTGGGCACAACCCACTTCTTCAGATAAACTCCATTCATCTGAAGAAGTGGATTGTGCCCATGAAAGCTCATGATACCATCTACATTTTTTATTAGTGTCTAAGGTGCTGCAAGACTATTTTTTTTTAAAGTTTTTCCAGTTACCGACTAACACGGCTATCCCTCTGAAACTTTTTACCTTCTTGTAGACCCAGTGAAATTCTGCTGGAACCTCACTCAGTCTCAGTCTCAATCTTGCTGTTTGTGTGTGTCTAGCCTTTGCAGCAGACATGATCATTTCATTTTCACCATTTGTTTTCGTGCCATCATTCCAAATAAAATATTGTACAAGTTCAGTATCATGGCATAACTTCACATATCTGTCCAGAAGAGGATGGTTCTATTTTTGTAAAAACAATGAGTTGTCCTGTGGCAACTGAGGGCATGTCTACACTGGGGAGTTATTTCGAAATAACTAGGGAAGGGCATGTCTACACTACCACCCTAGTTCGAACTAGGGTGGTAGTGTAGACATGCCCTTCCCTAGTTATTTCGAAATAACTAGGGAAGGGCATGTCTACACTACCACCCTAGTTCGAACTAGGGTGGTAGTGTAGACATGCCCTTCCCTAGTTATTTCGAAATAACTAGGGAAGGGCATGTCTACACTACCACCCTAGTTCGAACTAGGGTGGTAGTGTAGACATGCCCTTCCCTAGTTATTTCGAAATAACTAGGGAAGGGCATGTCTACACTACCACCCTAGTTCGAACTAGGGTGGTAGTGTAGACATGCCCTTCCCTAGTTATTTCGAAATAACTAGGGAAGGGCATGTCTACACTACCACCCTAGTTCGAACTAGGGTGGTAGTGTAGACATGCCCTTCCCTAGTTATTTCGAAATAACTAGGGAAGGGCATGTCTACACTACCACCCTAGTTCGAACTAGGGTGGTAGTGTAGACATGCCCTTCCCTAGTTATTTCGAAATAATTTCCAAGTGTAGGCACGCCCTAAGGTGCCACAGGATTCCTCAATGTTTTTCTAGATACAAACTAACACAGCTACCCCTCTGAGTCTATTTCTGTAGTTAGCTGCTTTCCAAACCAGGATATATGTTTGAACACAGCCAAAAAAATTAGATTGCAAAAAACATGTTATTGAGCTTATAAATATATGCTCTTCACAAAGTTGTAGAGCACATTTATCAAACATTTCAAGACTACCAGCAAATGCATTTTAAAAGTATGAAAGTAGTTTGTTGCTTCAGTCTAGTTTGTTGTGAACAGTGTCAGCGATATAAAACGAACACACTGTTGACGATCTCAGGAGTCTCAGAGGCCAAAGGCTGTGAGGAAAATGAGCTGTCTTTTCATCCTCATGTGGTTCCTCCAAGGGCAGATTTAATGTAAGCCAGCCCAGCCATTTAGATTTTTTTAAAATGCCCATCACGCTGTTATCCGAGTGCCCCAGGGCTGAGGAATGTTGTTGCACAATGTAGAGAACCGTTCATTGCAAGCTATCTGTTAATTAGAGAAAACCAATCTGGAATAGCTACCTCAAACCTTTCATAATGCAATAACAGCTCCCTTCTTGCCTTCCCTCCTCACCTGCCCTATTTGGCTTTCTGGGTATATAAACAGAATCCAAAACACATCTATTCCCCACCACCACAAAGCAGGGAATGAACACATTTGCCAACCATTGCTGTTTGTGTGTTGTATCCCTTTTGCCCACCCTCTGTCTACATTATTTATGTAGATTGTAAACTCTTGGGTGGGGGGGGCGGCAAAGCCAAGGACTGTATCATACATGTTTGTAGAGCAAGTAGTAAAATGGAGCACAGATCCCAACCGGGGCCTCTATTGGTATGTCTACAATGCAGTAAAAGAGCTGCAGCTGACCTGGGTCAGCCGCTGCTAGGGATTAGGAAGCAGAGCTAAAAATTGAAGTATAGATGTGTGGGCTAATGGGCTTGATGGAATCCAGCTTCTGGGTTGAGGGGGTTGTTTCTCAGACAATGTAAACAAAGGCTGGAGTGGAAGAGGTGCAACGCAGAAGCAGCAATGGTTGGCAAATGTCATACTCATTAAGCTCTGAAGTTCACCTCCACTATGGGGTTTCCATCCTGAGCCCTACTGTCCACCACACTGCCATTTTATCCCCACAGCCTGGGCCCCCAACCCAAATCAGTGACCAAGGCTCTGAGCCTTACTGCTGTGATTTTTTTTAGGGCAACATAGATGCATCCTTTTATTTTGCAATAATAATAATTGATACTCAATACAAATGCAATGAATACTCCCATATACTAACATTCAACACAAATACATAGTCCATGCAAACCTAGGATGTTGAGCACTGGGAAGATGTTTGATTTTCAAAAGAACTGAGCTCCCTGATCTTAGAAATTAGGCTTTCATTGTAAAGAGCTACCAGCTTGTTAAAAGAGCTGCACGAGTCCAAACAGCACTCTGATGCTGTTTGTTTCCCTAATTATCAGGGCTTGTTAGTTATACAAATAACCAGCTTCATTGTGGAAGGTGTGTCTCCTGCAGCATAAAATTAGAGGTGATTGTTTTTAAAAAAATCTGCCAGTTTGTGTCTTTTTCCAGATAATGACACACACAAGAGGAGGAAATTGGTTTCCATTCAGAGGTTTCCTAGCAACAACACAGGTAATGCAGAAAGCCGGGATGAGGTTGCATACTCTTGGTAACTCAAATGGTTAAAACAACAAAGCCTCACAACATTATCAACAGCTGTTCTAGAATAAAGAGTTGCTTGAGTAGGGATCAGCTGGTGAAAGGTTGGAATGAGTAACAGCTATGGCTTTCAGCACCCTTCTATATGCAACTTGACAAGAGGTGATCATGATGCATTTACAATTAACAGGAGTTTGGAGGGAAAACTCAAATCCAGCAATATCTTAGCAGCCTGACAGTTTGGTAAAAGTTTCTCAGGTTATGGAGATAACAGTGGGGCTTGAGAGTAAATGGGCTTTGTGATTATTTCCTAAAGGGAATGTCAAATACCCAACCAAATAATTAACCTAAAATCATCATCACCTCAATCTACATGCTCCGATTTCGAATAGTTAAAACGTCCACCTACCTTTCATTTCTGAATTTTGTGGGGGGTTTTGTTCGCCAGAAACAATAGCGAGGGCTCTGCTAGCTTTCTCAGACACACAGAAACAGGACATTTTACCAAAGACCTCTATGCACCCTCTGCTGGATTTATTCAGACTAGCAAACACTATTTCTGCATCTGGAAAGTCACCAACACTGATGCACAACACAAGCTGTATGCAAAACACACTCACATTGATGTCGGACACCATCAAAAAAACCAGATCCCATTTTTTGCCAAATAGGAGAGAATAAAGTCTGTAAGGAAGCATCAGTTAGAAATACTACATACATCCTATTGACCTGCTGACATTGGTCAATTAAACTAGTATGGAACAGATGCAGAAATAATCTAGCCTTTAATTATGTTAGCAAATCTTCACACTCAATCCACTCTGTGCTCAGAGTTTTAGCCAAATAATTTGTAGTAAAGCATCAGAAATCTGATTCCAGTCGTCAACAAAATATCAAGAGTCACAATTACAGCAGAAGCAGCCTTGCTTAAAAAGGGGCATAAGAGCAATCGGAACTGTAGCAGCTTCTCAAATGGTCTTAATGAAGCCATTATAGTCAAGAAAAATCCTTGTACAGTTTTTATTGTTGGTGCTGAAATAGCAATTCTACACTGACAGCAATGCTAATTTAGAAATACAAGCTCTCATACAAAACAGGATTCCTATGATAGAAACACAGTTAGCTTTATTTAAAATTGTATGTCCTCCCTTTTTCCTCTAAAATATTAGAATCCAAGCATGTGTCCCTAGGTGAAAATGACTATTTTCAGACTTCCAAGTTTTTCCTGGTTTTGCAAGTTACTTATTTTTTCATTTCATTTTTGGGTAATGGTTTATGCAGCTCCAGTTGAGAGCATTAAAGTGCATGCACAGACTACTGAATGCTCAGTTAGACACACACACGCAGTACTAGTATTTCAGTGTAATTTTATGTGTATCTCAGCAAGTTATTTTAGATTGAATCCAGGAACTATTAAATACTGATAATATGTCAATACACTTGAAATAATTTGTGTAGTGCAATATATAGGAGTCACAATCTTACAAGTGAAACAAGAATGCCACCAGAGTCATAGTGCTGGGAATTTGGTTTGGTGGGGGGGAAGATGGTTTTGTAATATTTGCTACCAAATGGCACACATGGGAGGGATGGATTTGCTGCTTTAAAAAAAAGTATTTTAATGATAATGGTCTGCTTAGTGGTTAGAGGCAAGGACAGACTAACATTTATATTGAAACAAATAAATGTTGTAATTGAAAAGTGAAGTTGCATCACAAAGCAAATTTTGCTATAGTAAAGGTCACTTAACTAGCTTTGGGCAAAGTTAGCTGCTCTATTGTCATCCATTATGCCAGCATAATAGGAAGTGTAATAGCCTAAACACTCTTTAGTCCTCCCAATACCTTTCTCCGTTTAGGTGGCCCATCTAGTCTACTTTCTGCTGTCTATTGTTCTACACAGAGCTGAAGGCACTTCCCTGTACCAACAGCACTTCAAAACCTGTGGGGAGAAAATGTCTTTTTAAAGGACCAGAGTTTGAAAATGTTAAAGTTTTGCACTCAAACCAGCCACAATGATCCACTAAGGCTTATGTGACAATTGATTAGTACAATTCTCTGTTAATATATTCTGGGGCCTAATTCAGAGCAAAAGGGGAAAAAATGACCAGGTGGCTTTGATCTACAGCTCCTATTCATATCAGGAAGCCCAAGTGTTGAAATCCTGTAATATGCTCTGGCTCATTTGCTATCGTCACTGCATGGCATGCTATGTAATGTTATACAACTCCCCACCACATCAGCATCTACCCTTCAAACGTCTTACTTATGCCATCAGCTCATTAACTAGAGAAGCCACCTTCCGCAGGGTGATCCCCACATTATGCCATTCTCTCAACATCAGGATCTAGTGCTACATTGTCAGGACTAGCTCACCACAGAATTTGAGAAAAATATCTTTCCTCATTATACAAGTGTAACTTGGTCCATCAGTTGATAGTTGCAGTCCAGACCCCAAACACCACCCGATGAATAGTTTCCAGAAGAATTGTACAAAGTTAGGCAGTGCAGGGCTGGTGGATGGATATTGGGGAAGTACTTACATCTGATCTCCATATGGACAAGCAATATAGCACCAGTGCAGTTCACCAATGCTGAGAGCTTTGGGTAGTCTTTAAGAACTGCCAGTGAGAAACAGGGTCACTGAATGCAGCAGAGAAAGCTGCGAAGTTTCATACAGCTAGAGGTGAAACATAATGCAAGTAATTTAGTGAGCTAATGTAAATGTGACCATAGCTTTCAGTTAACTCCTCTCCTCGAGCATTGAGGGGTATAGCACACAAAGCCACTCACAACACTTGGCAGCCGGGTCTGGAGCAAGTAGGCAAATGGGTAGGCAGGAGTGCGTTTAGCGGTGCTGGGGACAGGTGGTGGGGTGCTGGAAGTCAGCTGGCAGTGCTGAGTTAGATGGGTGAGTTCTGGGGTGCTTGGGTCAGTGGGTGCAGTCTAGCAGTTGCGATGTGTGGAGGTGCTGGGAGGTGTAAAGGCTGGATGAGTGGATGCTGTCTAGGAATGCTGGAGTATGGCAGAATTTGCTGAGTGTGAAGGGAGGAGGGGTCGGCCGAAGGAACTGGGGTGGGGCATTGAGCGTTTGCTGCCTGGCATGGGGAGTGCTAAATGAGCATCAGAGGAGTTTGGTGAAGCTGAGTGAGTCAGTGGCTAGTACAGAGCCCCCGCATCCTACATCACCATAAATTGATCAAACAGTGTTGTCCCTATTAACACTCCCCCTCTCCACCACTACCACACACCTCTAGCTGCTCCTGCTCTGTTTGAATTCCTCTAGGGCACTATCCAGGTGAGAAGCAATCAGGCTCCTGGGAGTTTTTCTGAAACCAGGCTCCACAATGAGCTAGCAAACAACAGCCCCTGCTTGCCATCAGCTATGCTGAGGAAAGCGAGACACTGTCATGAGATGCATGGTGCTTGGAAGTCAGACCTTGTCATGCACTCAAATTCCCAAGGCCACATCCAGTAAAGAGTGACAGAGTGTATACATTGCTGGCTGCAGATTAATGAAACAATCCTGCAATACAAACTTATTGTTCAAGGGCTGATGGTCCCGAACAAAAACCTATAGTAAAGGCAGGTGTGGTAAGATTTTGGTTTTCCCTCCCATGCCAACTTCGGATAGGGTGCTATGAAGCTACAAGGTCTTCTCCCTGAACTACACCCCCACAACCAAATATCTTTTAAAAATCACAGTTGAATTTCATTGCCAGGATCTAGTTGAAATTGAAAGCCAGTGTAAGATGACAGTGCTCAACAAATCCAAACAATGCGGAAAAGCCACTGGGGAGATAAATTCTGGGAACATTCATTAATCCAAGCATATTGAGACTGTGGCCAAATACTGCAAAAGAACCAAGAACTATGCTCATATTATTATGCTGAGAAGTGCTGGTGACTGTTTAGATCACAACTCTCTTTGACATTGGGCATGAACACACCTTTCAGTTAAGGACTGTCAGGATACATTGTTCACAAGCCCTTCACTTAAAACAAGCAGGTGTGATGAACCTGCCCAGGAGTTCTGGATGAAATAGTGATGGGGTCTTGTTTTGGGTGTGTGCTGCAAAGGAAGGAAAAGGAGACTAAGGCCTGGCCAACACTAGTAAGTCAGGTTGGTAACTGTCACCCAGGAGTGTGAAAAATCAGAAGGCAGCATTGCACATTGATGTGCTAGAGACTTAGGTCTAAGGCCAATCTGGGACCCTTTCTAGCATGTTGATGAAAAAGGGAACTTATGCTAGTCATGTGTTGGCTCTCTGAAGGGTGGTCATGGCCGACAGTTCAGGCTGTGCAGCCTGCTGGATGCTATTGTCACTGTCATCCTCAGAAGAGGCTCTTTGCCTAACCCCAAGGCGCAGAGCTGAGGGTCGCTAAATGAAAGGTGCTGCTGAACTGGCGGAAAAGACAGTTGACTTGGCAATATCACTCCAACCCTTGCTGCAATTGCAGTGCTCTTAGAAACCATCTGCTCTCTGAGCTTTTGACAATTAATGTCATTTGGCTGTTTTATGGCAAGCTGCCCATAGAAGGAAAAAAGGTAGATTATATAGAGATTCATATTATTATCAGAGGGGTTTGTGTGAGAGTAAGAATGGGCTCTTGGACAAAATGCCGTAAACATGTGCTTGTGATTGTTCATAATCTTACTACATCTAAAGTCTTATAATTTAAATATGTGCTAGCATCATGACAATACATAGTTTCATGTCATTGTCCCATGGCTTAAAACATTTTAAAAAGCAATTTCAAGTGTATACGTGAAAGGTGCTTAATTAATATACACTGGAAACTGAAATCCTTTCTCCACAAAGTAGGATAGGAATGTAGAAATTCAAATTTTTCACACCTGCCCAGTCAACATAATTCAATCCTGTGCTTGAGAACATAAGACAGGAGACAACATAATTCTTTTCAATATTTGGCATCTCTCCTAAACTGAAAATAAGAGTCCTAACTGCAATAAGGGATTTTGTGTAGTGCGGACTGAAAAAAGACACATAGGTTTTGTGATTTTTTTTAAAAAGAAAGTTTGTTTCTCTTTAAAAAAATGTTTACCATTTTTCATTGGAAAAGGGCAATGAGCTAGAAATAAAAATGTGACATTTTCCCAAAACATGCAAAATTTATGATATTTTTGTTTTATTTTGAAATTGTGTTTAAAATATTAGATTATAATGAAACTTTCCTACTAAGAATATTGTTGTCACATAGACTATGTTTGTTCCAAAGCAGCTGTTTTTTGCCACAGAAAGCTGTTGCCTGAGAAGTGACCTGAGACTCTGAAGGTATTTTGCACAAGCCTCTAAGTGGCCATCAGATGGTCATGACTTTCAGTCACATACAAAAATTCAGCTAGATTTGAATCAATATTTACCATGAGAGTTGAGTAAACATTGTTGGGCAAAAGTTCTGCTGGGGCCCTTCTATTAATTAAGATCTCAATTTCCTTTAGCATAGCATTGGTTTACTTTTTATCAGTACCACT